ACTTATCATGCTTGAGTTTCGTACATAATTATTTTAATGGTTCAAAAAAATTATCAAAGCTGTTTTTAAATTTTTCGATACTTCAGGAAAATCACTCTTTCAGTGTACGATCTCGTTAAAAGTCTATTCCACTTTTCGATCAACATCTCGCTTTTGCACGCATCGCATTGACACGGACAGATCTGTTCGTCTTTGCGCATTTCTTTCCCTTTCTTCGTCTAAGCGTCATAGGGCGTATTACAGATTCTCCGTGCTTATAAAACAAGAACGAGAACAACACTCGAGCCGGAGCTTAAAGGAAAACGCTCGTGCTCGCGGCACTGAGCCGTTCATTATGTTCATCAAAGCCTCTCAACGCTCCACTTCGGCAATAGTGTACGCAGGTATATCGTTAGCGTACGAGTGTGCGTTGCATACGTGTGTGTACGTACATGTGTAGATGTATCTCTCCGTGTTCTCTTCTTTGCTGGTGCGCTCGTAAGAAGCCTTCTAAGCTGCCCCGGAGTGCCTTCTTAAGGTCGGTAGTTGGAGAAATTTCTACGCGTAGGTATGCCGAAGTAATCCCTTAGATATTTCCCTTACGTAATGCCTGGGTTGTCCGGGTATTGGATGGGAGAGTTCGCGAAGCTTGTATCGGCACGTACGGGTATTAGAACTCTCTTGAATTTATGGTGGTTAGCTAGTTGTTGCTAGAAAAAGTTCATTCGGAGATACGTTTCCCTTTACTACTGAATGTTACTTTATTTTCATATATATATATATATTAAATAATTTCAGCGATAAAAAAGCGAGAGTACGAAATTAGAGTGAAATGTTGCATTTAGATATTTTGATTGTCATATTTAAAAACCTTTTATCTCGATTATATTATACGCACGCGCAAAATTACAAGTCATTCAATATTCAGCTCACTCGTCTTCATAAATCAACTATCTAAAGTTAGCTAGAAATTATTCAATTTGAATTTTAATTTAATTTCAATTATTTTAAGTACAACGTACTAAAGGGGAGAAGGGAAAGTACGATAAATGTACATCTAAATGTAATGGAAAACGCCATCTCGCGCGACTTAGGATTTTTACTTCGGAAGCTTCCTGAGACACGGGTGAGGAAAATGGACAAGCGCGATGTAGGAATCAAGAACAAGAAGCGAGAAGGGCGCACAAAAGCGAGTGATGGAGGCAGACCATAGCGACTAAGGATTCAATTCTTGTTGGGAACGGGCAAAGGAATAACGCGGAATCAATAGAGGTCGGTCTCGCGATTCTGCTCGGCTTCGTCGTTGTAGTGTTGTCCGTCCGACGCGGGTCGAATGCCTCGGCTAGGTTGAACTCGTTGTATTTTCTCGAAATACGGATCTTCAAATCCTCCCAACCTCCCCTATATCCTCCTTTGCACTCCCCAACCTTGTTCAGGATCCGCCAGGACCGGTAGGGTCCATTCTACGGGGACAGTATTTTTCTTTTCTTTACTGCTTTCTCAATGTCTCTTCTCTCGTTCTATTTCCTCAAACTCAAGCGACTCGTCGCGTTCAATGCGACTTGGCGGAAGGGTGCGAGGAATTACTTACGTTTCATTGCGAACATTGGATTTGTGGCTCTTCTAGGCGGAGCTTTTGCTTTCTCTTTCTCTTTCTCTTTTCCATCCACCTCATTTCGTTCCACCGATAAATGATAATAGCGTTCAATCTGCCTAGAAGATCGTAAAGAGTAAGACATATATCTATCGACTTTAACTAATTTTATTGCTGTCTTAAGTTTGATGTCTGAATTTATTTTCACTATTTGACAAATGTTCTACGAACAGATTGCAATAAATCCATAGTTGAAAGTACTGAACTCCCGTTATCATAATTTATCTCGTTTATCGGCGATATCGATGCGAGCGTTGTTATTTGCCATATCTACTACCTTATACCGTAATCCAGAGAGAGTTTTTCTTTATTTACTTGTTGGCATAAGTTAAACGTTTGTTTGTATCCATTTCATTGAGCACCGCTTTCGGACGATATTTCCCCTCGACTGTTGGGATCCGTATATTCCCAGATGCAAGTAAACGAACCGTGCGATACTATCTCATGCGCGAAATCGCGAAGTCTTTACCCCAGTTCCTGTTTTTCGCCGGAAGCTGCCGCTTCGTCTCCCAAGAACGGCGTGCGCGATCAAGAGAATGCACCCCGGAGTTCCTTCTTTACTTTGGAAAACAGGCCAGCTTTTTCGTTGGATTTGCATCGCTGATATGGAAAAGGTAACGCTTAACATTACGCTTCTCCGATAAAGCACGTATTGGCAATTTAGCGTAACCACAATATTGCTTGGGCACGATATTCCGCGTCTCGAGGCTTCATATATATCATATTACGAGTTCGCGGCAGCGAAAAGAGGGAACAATAATAGGCAGCCTGAGCAATAATAGCGCCATGGGCGAAGATTTTACGAAGGAGAAAGAAGAGATCTTTCAGCTCCATTCCCCGTTTGAATGGACTTTCAAACTTAATTGAGAACGGGAAAAAGTCGGCATGAAGTCTCGCCGTACTTCATTCTCTTCTCTAAGAATTGGCAAACCTGTGCAACTACAGTTTCCATCGTCTCTCACCTTCTTTGTCCAGACAGGTCTGCCATTGTAGATCTTTTGTCGAATAACCGTTATTTACAATTTTTCTAAATTCTAAAAGTAATGTGTATCCACATTTGCGAATATTATTGCTGAAAACGGTATAATTTTTTGTGTTTGGCACGTTATAGTTAATATTTATTAATTTTTAAGAGAGACTTGATTAAGTTTTGGGATAATTTTGCGTAACTATAGATACGCAAATAATATTCGTACTGCAGTTAACACATTTTTAACTCTATTAGTAAAATTGGCTTTATAAATAAGAAAGAGGAAGAAGATGAAAGTATGTGTTTTATCAAAGTCGATATTATAGATTCTCTAGACTGATAGATTGATTTTACTACTTCTTAGATTTTGTACTAATTCGTTACATTTTGTTAAATGCTCCTCTTGATATCCTGAAAACTTTACATAATTTTATACCCTTTAGATGTTGTTTTAAAAAGAAAATATATTTTATATAGTCTACATTCTGATATAGTAATTTCCTAAAATATAATATATATCGTAATATGATACACATATTCAGAACAACATATGTTCAATCTATTTTTCTGAATACTACAAAACAAGAATCATTATATTATAAATTATGAGAACACAAAATTTAATACATTTTATACAAAATAATACATAATGATTTGATAGAAAAGTAAAAATGTCTTAATAAATTATTATGTATTTTAATAACATGTCGGCTAACAAACATTTCGATAATCAATAAATTAAGATGGTTATATAATTGTTGATAAATAAATTAAGATAATAATATAATTGTTGATACCAACAATTATATAGTTATACCATGCGAAGTATATTTTAAATTTCTTCGATCGACTTTATGTTTTTTTACCGTTTAGACATATTTTATAAGCATTGATAAAATGATTCTATCATGATCGAAACGTTTGTTAACCGGCATGTTATTAAAGTTTATAATAATTTATTAAGACATTTTTACTTTTCTCCAATTTGTTTATATATAAAATTTCTGGCGCGTAGTCTTTTTTCTTTTAACTGGTTTTTAAATTATTGAGCCATTACATAATACTATTATATAATTTTAATATATAATGATATATAGAAAATAATAATAGACCGCGACATAATGAACGAAACATATGTTAACGTTACATATGTTAACGTTGTACGAATAGATGCTCTAACTTAAAGGTCCGAGAATCCGTCGGAAGACAAAAGGCATAGACTCTTTGTCGCTCCTGTAATATATCATATTTCCCGAAAAAACTGAGGGACTCGCCTTCGCCCTTCGTCGATTTCTTCCAGTATCGAACAAGGCACCATTGTACGTTTCTCAGTGTATCTCTGTTATCGAAGTAAATCCACGTAGTCCCTTTGCTGAATCGGAGCGCCGCCGCGCGAAATAAGGAACGGAAGCGCTTACACCTCGAGAGGAATTCTCTTCGAGAGCTTTTCTTCGAACGCGCAGATATATACCGACCGCTTCTTCCTCGAAAGGGATTTGAGAGGACACTGGAACTAAAGGGAAGAACGACAACATGAGCAGCGGTGGAGGAAAGCTGGCCCTTCGAGAAACAAAGTCTTCCTCTTTGCTTGTAGCGCCATCGAGAGCTTTACTTTTCATGCGTTCGATATTTCGATAATTGCTTCCTTGTGACTCTCGTCATATCAAGGAGTTACTAGTAATTTTTGTCAGAAACATGGCAAGATGAAATAAATAGATTTCCTCGTTGGTGTTCATAATCTCTAAACTGAAAAGTATATTGCATTCTTCATAAAAAATAATATATTATAATTTGTAAAATGACAGCGATAATATTAATTGACTCAATAGTTAGAAGTGTTGAGAATGATTTATCTTTACATCTGGCATAATAAGAGAGTAAATAAAAGAAAAAATGTAAAAAAAGATAAGTAGGCCTTTTTTTTGTTAATATTTTTGTTAGACTGTCGGGGTTCAAGCGGAAATAATTGACAGTTGGTAATTAGTGTTGATTTAATCACTGTTATTCTAGGCAAAATCCTCACGTACTCATCGACGCGGCCCTTTGCGAGATTCAATTAAAGTTTTGTAGAAATTCTGATTGTCAGCCGAGCACAAGTTTATAACAATTAATAATAATTTCCTTTTCATCGTTATGTGACATAAGATAATGAACTTGCGATGAAACGTGAATTTCACTATGATTCCAGATAATGAAATTGCTGCTCACTTGATTTCAAATGACTGTTTAGATTTATTTAATTTTTTTACAATTCAATAAAATGAGAAAGAAGAAAAGTCAAAGGAAAGTGAATCTCGAAATTAAAAATATATAACTAATTAATCATTTATTTAACGAAATATATAAATATTTTCATTTAATTTTAGTCATTCTTAACTAAGTAAAAGAAAGTGACAATTTTATATAGATAAATAAATTCATAAATTAAATATTGTAATTAAAAGTGAAATAAAAATGGAAACAAATGTAAAAGTCACATCGAAGATCAAAATATAAAGTTGGTAGTAAAAGTAATCTAAAATTAAATATAAAAATAAAATACATTTCTCACGATAAATCAAAACGGTAAGGAAAAATTGTCAGAGAATAAAATTATGTCTTGTTTCGTTTGAAGACGAGAAAAAGTAAAGTCAAAAGTTAAAATAATAAAATTTGAACGTGTGCCATTTCGAACGCCTATGTCATGTGTACTTGTAAAGAACAATACCAATGAGCTTGTCGACATGAAAATTGTGACTGAAAGTATGGCAGTCTGAAGATTTATCGTAGCTTATATTATTACGAGCTTATATTATTACAGAGAACAAGTAAAATTCTATTGTACAGTAAAACGAGCGCAATTTATTATTGATTTGTTTTTTTACAATTATTTTTATAATCTCTCATTGTTATTGTTGCAACAAGAAAATATGTAGCTCGATATTAATTAAATAAAAACATAATAGTGAGGAAATAACTACGAAACTGTGCCATACCTCAAAACCTTGCTGTAACTTTTATATTATTATTTGTTATGCAAATCACTATTTTTCTGAACAATTAAAGTATTCTGTTAATCAAATGTAACCTTCGAATTCAGTTTATTTAATATCTATTTATTTATAATATCTTTGATGCGTTAAAAATTTTATTTTTTTTTTACGGCACTAATTAAATAACTATGTTAATAAAACACGTCAGTTGATCAGTGGAAACAACCGTTCATCAGATAAAAGCTAAGAATGGAATCTACGTTCGCGTTTCTTTCGTTTTCTTTCCGTGTCTCGGAAAACGAAAGGGAAGAATGATACACGTGCGGTCGACACGTCCCAGGTGTTCCTGATTATCTGGGGGAAGGGAAACGCTGGGAGCTCCGAACGGGTCACCTTAAAAGTTCGACAAATTAGCTTTTACAAATTAAACCCTCCCCACGGTCCCAACTTTACCGACGGAATTTAAGGGAATCCGTTCGTATATCGATAGACTATAAAACTTCACCGGATAGGAATGGGTCCGCGTCTGCCCGAGAATTTACTGGAAACGATATCCCTTCCATCGTACTCGCCGTATCCGTACGACTTCTGCTTGCAATCCACTGCGGAAGATCCGACGAAGGATGTCCACGCTTGGGATCTCGTT